GGGGGTGAACTTGTTGAGACATTAGAAAGCACCTGTATGGAAGGCACATGACACCTCTTCGTTATGTTCCCAGATCTCTCCGAGTTCAACAACGCATTCGTCTTCATATTTGCTTGTTCTTCACGTTATTCCTTTCCTCCGTGCTGGACATCTTATGGAAGCGAGTGGTGGACTTGGAAATGTTAGCCAGTCCTTTGAACAACTTTGTGAAAACGTCGCCAGTAAGTGTTAATGTTTCCTCTTCTGTTTAAGTGTTGAAGTGATTTCATTAAAGCCCAGGCTGTGAGGTTAAAGCAACTAGAGCCAATCGAATGGACTGACGGTGAAGTTGTATGAGCTTTAAATAGGATGAGATCCACAGCACAAAATGATTGCTTTAGTTTTGTGAATTCTGTTTTGACTTGATTAATAAATTGGCTTCACAAGGATTCCTTATATTGTCAACGTCCAAAGAGCCTAGATTTCAGTAACATAATTTGGTCGAAGCTTCATTTTACTTTACGCTCAAGTTCGCAACCGACTGCGCCATAGCGGCTGACGAAAATTTAGTCGATATAATTTTATGTTTGAACTGCAACACGAGTACGTCTAAACAGGGACGTTAACAATTACTGATCTTTTTCACCGTCTTTTGTTTCTTCTGCTGACCCCCCCTCCCCAAACTTCCTCAAAAAAGGACGCTTGCAAGTTCCTAAACATGAGTTCCAGATTTACAAGAGCATCTTCATTTTTCTGGATGTTTTGCGAAGGATTTCAGCTTCACTGGCTGATGGTCAAGGCTTTTAAGCCGATTGGATCCATCATACCATTCCTGCTTGTTGGCTGGGGTAAATATTCTCTTGTGCCATGCTTAAGTTACAGCTTCTGTTTGCAATCAACTTTTGTGAGCCCGATTCTCTAGGGCTGCACACACGACTCAGACGTCATAAACAGGTGATTGCAAACACGGTAGAGGGCAAAACGAGAAACACAAGTCCTCATTTAAGTGACATTGTAAGCTGGTTTTTCTGTTCTGTCGTGTAACCGCTGCTTGACGCTTACATAACTCTAGAAGCAGAAGCCCCCAACCCCTGAAAAAGGGGGAAAAGAGAAAAGAAAAGAAAGGAAAAAAAAATACGCACGCATGAAAGGACCAATAGTGTACCCACATGGACAAACATAGTCTGAAGTGTTTTTAAATGACGGTATATATGAACATTTACAATGCCGTAGGAGTGAACAAAAAGAACTTGATCTGTGTTTTCTGTGTATTTTCTGAGTTAGTTTTATTTTAGTGTCACATAATGAAGACAACACTTCGCGATGTTCCTTCGGATGTGTAGGCTTACATAAGACTGATAAAATAATATCCAGAAGACTCGGTCAGCTGGCTTGGGAATGAAACTGTAGCAACTTTTTATATGTAGAATGCCACTGTTTTTTTATGTCTTTAGTTAGCAATCAGAGAGTAAACTAATTCCAATGATTTTTTAAATATTTTGTATCTCTTAGGAATTCCTGGTGTCTTGGTAGTCATTTACGTCATCATTAGAGTCGTAGACACTGAGGACAGGTGAGTGAGTACTGAACAACTGTAGAACTTTACAGCAAAGGCCAGAGCTATGTTCTATTGTCTTTTTCTCATCACCACTTCTGTTATTGTTGAATTGTCACTATACTGAACCACTATTGTTTAAGGCGGGTCGAGTTTGAATGCGGGGGAGGGAATGAGGGTAGAGGAGACGGGGG